AATTAGATTCAAACTCCCTACATATATTTTCGTTCATGTTTGCCTTGCTGATAAAAAACTTGTGTCAATTTTTTTATTGTTTAATTTAATTTGAATGTTTGATTTTTCGTTTGGAGACTCACATGCTGCCACCAGTTCAAGAATTGATTTAAAATGTTTCGCTACGTATACGCTGACGAAGATTCATAAACATATAATGCCACAAGTTGCAAGAATTGATTTATGAAACCATTTATTGTATAGAATACCATGAAATAGCCATAAGTTGAACATTCAATTATCTTGTAAAGTTTGTCAAATACTTCTAGATGTGAATTTGTCAATGGCTCCAGAGTTGTGTACCAAGTCGGCAAGTCTTAAAATGTGCGCGTCTAGTGACCTTAGATTTGATAAATATATTTGTTTTCAATAACACTAGCTATTTGTTTCATGATAACGTTATTTCAATTATTATAATACGTAAAAAAATTCAATAAATTATATTTAAAATTTTTATGGTTATGTTTACTATTTAATTAATGATATAACGTCACACTCATACAATTAAATAATTCTATATAATATAATAATAGAAATAACTAAAATAAGAGTATAATGCATTTTCATTATCGTGTCTTTATAATTAAAATGGATGATTGAAATCAAATTTTAGTAAAAATTGAAGATGCATATTTTATCTTCAACCATTCAAACATTACATTCATAAAAATGGAATTCAAAGAGATGATACTTTTGATTTCAAGCTATAGGAAACAATGGTGATAATCACATCAACAGGGGAGGAGTGGAACTCAAAATGATAATTAATGGTACTATTATCTTCTTATCAAGTAGGAATATTTTAGGCATTTAAACTTTTTTTCTTTTTAACAATAATAGAAGGAAGATTACTAAAAATAATACCTTTTAGGAACATTTAAACCATCAATAAGAAGAAAAGACTAAGTTGACTGTGAATCAGTCATGGATCCAGTTGGAACAAGCAACACATACAGAAATAAAATGGTTTGATCAGTTAAGAACAATTAAAATTTATCTGAACCGAGCAAAATCATTTTTAACATTACTGAGATTTAAACAACACACGTATTTGTTAATTTATTTTTGTTGTTTTCAATTTTCTATAAAAAAATCTTATTGAGTGTAATATTTAATATATAAATAACATTATTTGAGTTTTAATATGTTTTTTTTTTTTTTAGCTCTGTACTAGTTTATTTTAAAGAAAAACTCCCCGTTTGAACTCGCTTATTTTTCTATTCCAAGTCAAACCTATTCGCTGGCCTTACAAATTCCTCTACTCCTCCAGCCACAAACTCCTTAATTTTATTATTTATTACATTTTTGTTTCTATACTGAACTCTACATACGAGCACGCATTTTCGCCTGAAGGTACAGATTTGAGATTTTCAACGAGCTTGAAGATGACGAAGCAAAAATACATCGTGCAGGTTGAACCTTCGAAGCCCGCCAGGGATGGGAAGCCGTCGATCGGACCGGTTTATCGGAGTATCTTTGCCAAGGATGGTTTTCCGGAGCCGACGCCGGGACTCGACAGCTGTTGGGACATTTTCCGGTCTGATTCTATCTGCTTTTATCTTACTTGTCCTGTTTCTGTTATGGAGATTTAGGAGTTTGTTTTATGCTAAGTGTTGCATTATTTTGTTCCGCAAGTTCTGTGAGGCATTGGGGCCTGAGATCCTCAAGGTTGATGTTTGATTGATTCGATCCTGTTTCTATATACGTATGTGCGTATGTATATATGCAATTACGTATATGTACTTGTCTATTTTCCATTTTTGTTGTTGAAACTTGAAAAGTTATGACGGGTGATGTGAAGTCGACCTTCGTATTTGTTTGGGTTGCTCGTGCTTTCTCAAACTGACTTGACAGTGATGTCTGAGGGTTGAGTAGTTTTTTGTTTGTGCATCCCAATCTGATTTTTATTTACTTTTTTTGCAAGTTTGGTGGAGCTAAATATGGTTTTTGGTGGAACTAAATATGGTTATTTGTGGCCTTCTATTTTAAAATAATTCTATGTTCTTTTTTCCTCTTGGAATATATTATTTGAATTACTGTAAGTGTACTAACAGTAGTCTCTCTTATATTCTTATTAGTTATTATGCATGTTTACCTCAAAACTTCTCTCCTGTATGAAACTGACGAGGGATGATTTTGAGAAAGAAGAGGAAGTGGAAGAAGCTGTGATTATTCATTTATTAATTTATTTTGTTGTTTTCTCCGTATCAGCTAAAATTAGATTTAGATGGATAGGTACCCATATCATGTTGATTAAGACTAACAACAAAACACTACAACCAGATGTGGGTAGTTTTTAGAGTACTACTGCGCTTTGGGACCATTATGCTGCATAACAGAATTAATGTAAATTCTGTTAATTATTATTATTATAGTTGTTCTTGTTGTTGCTCACAGTAGTATGTAAAAGATGTTGTCAATTGGCATTATTTTGTTACTCTTTTAGTATATGAACCGATTTTCTCAATCATAAATATTAGATACTTTGATTATCAGTTTAAAAAAAGCTCAATATCATGAAGGCTCTAGCTCCTGAAGATCAGCTGCCTTACATTCTAATGGATTATCTTCTCCAATTTATATTATTTGTTCTTTCGTGTTCTAATTTTCAATGTTGATAAAACTTGAAGCATACCCTGTACGCATATAATATAGAATCTGTATTTTAATTTTGTGTCTTATTTCTTTCTTATTTATATAATTTATTCTTTTACATATTCTCAATGTTGATATAAATTGAACCATACTTTTGGTTATGGCACAGTTTGTCTGTAGAGAAGTATCCCAACAACCGGATGCTTGGCCGTCTTCAAATAGTCAATGGGAAGGTATAATGCAGTCATGTAATAATAGATATTAATGCATACATCTCTGACGCTTTACAGTTTCCATTTATATTGTCAGCAACCTTTTGGCTGATCTTTGTTGTTTTGTTTGCCTCATCAGCCTGACAAATATGTATGGATGACTTACAAAGAAGTGTATGACATAGTCCTGAAAGTTGGCAACTCCATCCGTAACTGTGGCATTGAACAAGTAAGCATTTCTGGACTTGATAAAGAAATCTTGTTTTTGGTGCCAACTTTTATTTTGACCTATGAAAGTAAATTTCAATGCTAAAAACAAACTAACTGCATGAACTCTTATATAATTTTACAGTTTTTCTTCTAAATGTGATAATTACGTAGAGTTTTATGCATTTTGATTGATACATGAATGTATGTTGATTCTTGATGTGGCATATGAAATTTGTTATGGATGTTAATAATGGTACATATGTATTGTCCTTGTGATGCTTGTCTTCCCTGTCTTTTACTTGGTTTCTCAATGTTGCCAATCTTTGCCGTTAATCTGTACCAATGTCCTTAAAAATCTAATTATTTGGTTTTCCCCTTGACTTTTAAATGCCAGCATGTAATTATATCTGATACTATGATGATTTTTATATGTTACTTGATCTAATTTAATAATTTCAGGGAGGACGATGTGGTATTTATGGTGCTAATTCCGCTGAGTGGATTATGAGTATGGAGGTACTTCACAATTTTTTTCCCTCTCCCCTCCTTCGTGTGAGAATATGATACCAACAGGAGTCAACGGATTTTTATGGATCCATTAATCGACTTTATCCGATGATAATTTCTAAGAATTTTAGGATCCATTTTCGAAGGGGAAAATTCAGAAGGCCCTAACTACTTCTTGTAAACTGGTCTGTTATTTATATATTTGTCAGCCAAAATATGTTTCATTGAAATAGAAAGAACCTTTGCTTTTATCTAGTACATTGAGCTCCTCTCCAACTCCTCATCTGACTAATATTGTTCCAAAGAACAGGTCTAAAGTTAGATGTACTAGAAAATAAGGTGGAATTGTTTATTGTGGTCATAAACCTTCTCTTTTTGTCTGGATGTTGACCTAGCTCTATAATTTGATTAGAAATATTTCATGACATGAAGCAGATAAGTAGCATTTGATGAATGTGACCCTATTCATGGCTCTACCAATTAAGTTTCCCCACATTGTGATAGTGATTTATTAGTATAACCTTCTTATAGTTTTATTTCAAAAATTAACAGGTATCTGTTATCTTCTTTAATTCCATCCTCCCATCCACCCTCTGTTTTAATGGAAGCTTGTTAAGTATAGTTATATTCGGTGCAGCAAAAAGGATTCAAATGAGAGAACCTTTTATGTTCGTACAAAAAAAGAAAAAAAAAAAATGAAATTAACACCTTCTACTTTTTTCTTCCTGTTTTCTTTCCAAACTTACTAATTTTACCTTCGGTCTTGTATTCCACGGCCTTGATGGTTGATATGAACTGTTATCGAGAAGCTATATAGACAAAACGTCAAATTGACCCTGGAATTTAATTATTCGATGCAGGCGTGTAATGCTCATGGACTCTATTGTGTCCCTTTATATGACACTTTAGGTATGTCAAAATCCTTCGGTATTTGTTTACCTACTCTAGTGCGTACTTATACCCAATGCTGCAGTCTTTTTTCATTTTCTGGTTGCATCTGTTAAGTAACATGCATTAATTATTTGCTTGGTGGTTCAGGTGCTGGGGCTATCGAATTCATCATTTGCCATGCTGAAATTGAACTTGCTTTCGTAGAAGAGAAAAAAATCTCAGAGGTGCAATTATTTGATTCTAGAAAATAATAGTCTTTCGAGTTTCTTTTATGTGTATTATGGAAGTTCTTAACGATTTTGCATCTACATGATAAATAATAGTAGTATAAATTGACTTGACGCCTGATGGTAAATTGTATCGACTTGAAAAGGCTCTTATATGAGACTCCAGCTCGTACTTATAACTTATAAGCATGCAATGGTACAAGTTTGGATCCTTATTTGTGCACTTAGTGTTGGAGTATGTATATTAGTGTAGATATTTTGATAATGGAACTGGGGTTTGGAAACAAGTGTTTGATGCTAATATTTGCCTCTGATTCGCAGCTTCTGAAAACTTTTCCGACTGCAGCTAAGTACTTGAAAAGTAATTACCTTTTATGATCCGTTTTTCTTTTTTATTATGTCTTGTTTGTTAATGTTAATGATGATTGTGCTGCTCTTTTATCAGCAATTGTAAGCTTTGGGAAGGTTAGTTCTCAGCAGAAGGCTGAAGCTGAAAACTTTGGTGTGGCTATTCATTCTTGGGATGAGTTTCTGTCCTTGGTAAGCCTCTCGTTTTAGTATCTTATGTCTTTCTTAGGTGATGTGGTGTAGCACTAGAGTTTGCCCAGTTTGCCCCTCCCACGGTCCCTCTTAAGTGAACACCAGTTTGTTTTTGTTGTCATTGGCTCACACCATTCTTTTACATCTATGCCGATGTTCTAATTTGATATTTTCAACATAATCATGGGGCAGTTTATCTTTAACTCTTTCTACTTCTAGTGTTCTTGTTGAGCTTTTTAGTCAGCTGGATTTTCTGAAAATGATTTACCACGTGGATCACTGGCCTATCTTATTTTCTGTCAAGTAAAATAATATGTAAAGGTTTCAATAAAGAAACAAGTAGCTACACTTTTCAAATATTTCTTTCTGTTAGCTACTGGGCATTCCTACAAGTTGCTGTTTGCATTTTGTACCTTATTATTTTCTTACTCTCAATAAAAGATCACATAATGTGAGCAATATAGTTTTAAAAATTCAGTTTACTCGCTGGCTTTGCTTTAATATTTAGTTAGTGGTAGATGTGGTGAGTGGAATGAACTTGATGCAAACTTCTCTGTTTTACTGATTTATATAATGTATGGGTGCTATATCGAGTATTTGACTTGTGTGAGTATTCAGAAGCTTTAATGCATCTATTGAAGGCTTAGTTCGTAAGAGCTCAATTTTAATGTCAATTTAAACAGTAAATATAATTATCTTCTGTCCCCATTTTTTAAATGAAGCATCATATGTATTCCTTTTGTTGCCTTCATATTGTGCAGGGAGAAAGCAAACATCACGAGCTTCCTGTGAAAAAGAGAACAGATATTTGTACAATTATGTATACCAGCGGAACTACTGGAGATCCAAAAGGAGTCATGATTTCCAACAATACAATTGTTTCTTTTATAGCTGGAGTTAATCGTCTGCTAGAGAGTGTGAATGAAGCGGTGATTATATATATGTTTGATTATCTTCTGTTGTTTGTATACTGATTGCTAGTTATAACTTGAAATTTAAAAATGGAAAATTTGGTTATTGATCAAAACTGTTGAAGATGCTAAGCAATCCATTAATTGTAGCTTAATTCTTGTTTTGTTTTGCAGTTAACTGTCAATGATGTGTACCTCTCATATCTTCCTTTGGCGCACATCTTTGATCGTGCCATTGAAGAGTGTGTCATCAATAATGGGGGCTCGATAGGGTTTTGGCGGGGGGTAAGAAGATTTTCAGTTTACCTTTTTATAGAGATTGTAGGACACTGGATATAGCATTCGATTTTCATATTGCAGGATGTCAAGCTGTTGGTGGAAGATATTGGACTCCTCAAACCCACTATTTTCTGTGCAGTTCCTCGGGTATTAGATAGAATATATTCAGGTCGGTATCCATCATTGTGTAGGTAATATTTATTGTTAGGTTGATCATTCTTAATGTGTGAAACATTCCGAAGTGTGTTGTCTTAACGCATCAATTTTTTCTTTTTCCACGTTGGATGGTCTCTGTTAAATTATGACTTGGGATATTGAGACCCATTGCCCTATGGCTAATTTGCTAATTTACATTTTACAATGTCCACTTGCAAAACATTGAAATCTTTGGCCATCTGGGTAAACTAGACAGTTTTGGACTGGAGAAAAGGATGGGTTGTCTGATGAGAGAAGCCCGTGTTTTTTGCTATTCAACTATGGCTTTATTTACCTTTTCTTATTTCAGGTTTGCAACAGAAGATTGCTGCAGGTGGTTTCATAAAAAATACCATGTTCAACCTTGCTTACTCTTTGTAAGTTCTCGCTTTTATTTTCTTATTGTTTTTAGAGGAGAAATAGTAAATGAAAGTTCAGCGTATGAGTCTGCATTTCATGGATGCTGAATCTTTGCTGCCTGTTCTTGGGTTCTTGAGCTTCACGAGAACAAAGTTTCAAAGCATAACATGTTGAACAAGCAATAACGAAATTTGCCATATTATTCGCAAACCAACTCTACAACTGTATGGTTGTATACTGATACTGTGCTCTCCTTCACAGCTGAGCACGTTATTTGCAGTTCTTATAGTTTGATGATCCCCATACTGTTATTTTTCTGATTATTTTATTATTATTATTTCTCTCCCAGAAAATTACGTAATATGAGGAAGGGACAAAAACACACAGAAGCATCTCCACTCTGCGACAAAGTTGTTTTCAATAAGGTGATTACTCTATTTGGATGTCGATTTTCTAACTTATCCATATATGCCAAATTTTTTCACAGAAGTGATACTGCTCTTCTTTTAGGTGAAACAAGGTTTAGGAGGAAATGTTAGAGTTATTTTATCTGGAGCAGCACCTCTTGCCTCTCATGTGGAAGAGTATCTGAGAGTCGTGTCATGTTCTTATGTTCTTCAAGGATACGGTATTTTCCATTATTTAATGAAATCTTCCCTGCTCATATTCGTTCCTCGCATATTCCCTTTATTTAATTTGATTTTAGTACCTTTCCTCTCTATCTCTCCATTCTAGAGCGTATGTGTTGGTTCTTTCATTCAAGACTCCGGCTTTGACACCTTAACTCATGGTTTCAATCTTCTGTAAGGCGTATGCCGAAGCTTCCATGCATATATTTGCTAGGAAAAAATATCAATGGCACTTTTTTTTTCTTGATTACTAGTTATGATTAATATTCTGATTTCGGACCTAGTTTCAGAAAAATCTGAAAAGTAAAGTATCCGTAATTAGGACTGTCTATTAATGATATGCACCAGAACTTATTTTCTTAGGACTGACTATAAATTATATGCACCAAAACTTATCTTGATTGAGTTCTTTTTTTTGTTTTTTTTTGTGTGTGCATATAGGCTTAACAGAAACTTGTGCCGGTACATTTGTGACGATACCTGATGAGATAAACATGCTGGGAACTGTGGGACCCCCAGTTCCGAATGTGGATGTTTGCTTGGAATCTGTTCCTGAAATGGGGTATGATGCCCTTTCAAGTACACCACGTGGAGAAGTATGTGTAAGGGGGGATACATTATTTGCAGGCTACTACAAACGTGAAGACCTTACAAAAGAAGTCTTCGTTGATGGCTGGTTTCATACAGGTTGCTTTGGCAGTGACCATATTCAAATTCTTTTAAGTCCATTATCTTATAATACTCATCCTGGTTTTCATGAAACTTTATTTCGTTAGGGGATATTGGTGAATGGCAACCGGATGGGAGTTTGAAGATTGTTGACCGTAAGAAAAACATCTTCAAACTCTCGCAAGGAGAGTACGTTGCTGTGGAGAATTTAGAGAATATCTACGGCCTAGTACCTGATATTGACTCGGTATTGAGTTGGCTATATTCGTGTTAATGAATCTATTTTTACATCAAGCACATAACAACATGCAGAAAAATGTAAATGGTTTACATTTTGTCTACCTTTTAAAATGAAATTGCTCTAGAGCAGTTTTAACATGATTGTGAGTGTGAATGTCCGTAGACAACCAATTTTGTTCTATTTGTTTACGTAAATTCATACATTAACAAGTAACAATGCAGTCCACTCTTCCCTCTCGATATAAATTTCATTCTGAGGGATCTTAGACTTGGAGTATTTATCCAGTGAGAGTTTAACTTCTTGTGGTGGTAAATCTGCAGTTCTATGATTCTCACCGTGCTTTTAATTCATGCAGCTATGGATTTATGGAAACAGCTTCGAGTCTTGCCTTGTTGCTGTTATTAATCCAAACCAGCAAGCAGTTGAGAGATGGGCTCAACAGAATGATCTGTCTGGGGACTTCAATGCCCTATGCGAAAATCCCAAAGTAAAAGAGTACTTCCTTGGAGAACTATCGAGGATTGGAAAAGAAAAGAAGGTTCCTTCTCTTTTACTTTCTTTTTCTAACTCTTATCTCCATCAGTATTTGTTTATAGTTGGTACAAGAAATTGCCGCTCTTCACTGTTTGTCTGACCTACATTCTTTCGTCTTTTGGCAGTTGAAGGGATTTGAATTCGTCAAAGCTGTGCACCTTGATCCTGTCCCGTTTGACTTGGAACGTGATCTTATCACGCCAACATTCAAAAAGAAGAGACCCCAGCTACTTAAGTACTATCAGGTGGGTTTGTTGTTGGCCCCTTCATAACAGTATGAGATGCTTTTTTCTTCCCATATTGTATAGCATTTTTATCTTCCTAAATTTTTTCAATACTCTCATCATACTTGTAGATATTACAATGGTGCCCTTGTTTCTATTGTGAAAAATTTGTTTTCGGTGAATGTCTTTTAAAAAACATCCATTTTCTCTGGCAAGCCGATGCTCAAATACATTGAAATTTTTCAGGAAGAGCAATTTCCTTGTGCAATTTATTTCTGCTATATCTGTTTTCAAGGGTTCAGAGGCTCATGCTTCGATTTTGTTGGGTCCATCTTGCCTGTACTGTTACTTGGGAATGTAACTGACATCGTGTGTAGGATATATCTTTGCTAATATAACTTCTTTGTTCTCTGCAGAGCGTGATTGACAACATGTACAAGAGTGTGAAATAAGCGCTTTGGCTAGAGGTGATCTTTTGTGATATTTGCTGATGGCTGCTATGTTTCTTTGAATACCTTTTGGTAAAAACTCCTGTCCGTTGGACTGTGTCCAATTGGGGAAAACGCAGACAGTGAAAAAGATAAACAATGGATATCTAATGTACATACATATGTTGCCTTTTTTCCTGAAACTATTGTATTTCAAATTCGTGGTTTTACTTATTTATATTTTATACAGCTTCGTTGTTTTCTTTCATTGAATTTTGTGATATGTTCAAAACTGGCTTGAGGGTTGATTCTATTCTACAAGGTTAGCTAGGGGGCTTGCGGCCATCTTAGAAAAGCCATCATTTAGTTTACAAATTTATACACACTTTGAGGGTTGATTCTATTATGAAAGGGTAGCTGGGGGCGTTGGGCCTTCCTGCTGAATATGTAGCAATAAACTTCATTAATAATGTTTGTTATTAACTTTTGTTTGAATATATAAAATGAGAGTATAATTTGATTTTAATGCATATTTTCTATACAAGAAAAGGATGAGCAAGGATAATAGAAATATCAATTGTTATCAGTTAGACTGTCATACACTTTCAATAGATATGCATTGTTTTTACAAATAATGTATTTTAAAAACAAATAAATAAAGTATGTATTTTTATTGAATAAATCTAAGGAATTGATTCCCCTAATTGTTAGTTCTCTTGTGTGAATTTGTAATTGTTGTGGTGGGCAATGTAAATACTTTTCTTTTTGGTCATTGGCACCTCAGATAAGCTATGAACCATTGGATGTAAAAAAAAAACCCAAAAATAATAAAGTACAGACTTTAACATGTAGATCCGAAAAACTTAATACGAAAGATCATCAAAGTATTTTCTCATGGCTCATGTAATAACCTTACACATTATAAAAAGAACTGAACTGTAGTAGAAAAATTAACTAATATTAAGATACTAAATTTGGAGATTCTTATGCAAAACATATGTCAATTATTTATGAAAACAATTCTAAATACAAATTAACTTAAAAATCTTGCAAATTGGATATAAATTTAAGAAACAAATAGTTGTATAATTCTTAATAAATTCTTCCAATCTTATTGAATATTTTTTTCTTTAAAAAAAAGTGTGTAAATTGGATAAAACCAGGTGCAATTTTTATTTTAAAATAAAACTGATATTTGGACGGGATGTACATTCAAAATTGTGTCCACGTTTTTTGGTACCAAAAGCGGTTCATCTTTGATATTTATAGTCACATTATCCAATTATTTAGGAAAAATTGTGTGCAACTTTTCAAAATTTAAAGGCATCGATTTTTTTGAATTCTTATGTTTTTTCTTAACCATGTTTTACCGAGATTTTGGTAAGTTCATATCATTTTTTTTCTTGGTTAAGTTCATATCATTTTCTTTAGGAAGAGACAGTTGCATAAACATTAACGAATTATTTTAATTTTTTATTAGAATTATTTTCAATTCAATTTGTTTGGTAAAAAAATTGGTGCAATGTTAGGAAATTTTGGTTGCAATTTTAGGAAAAATTGATGACTTTTTTATTTGGTTTAAAAAAAATATTCGGATTAATTAGTTTGATAAAAAATCAATTTATTGGTAGAAAAATCGGTTTCATTTTCAGGAGTAACTAATGATGTTTTCAATTTTTCTTAATTGAAATTTAGAATTAGATTCAAAATAAATAATGGTTGAAAATCCCTATAAATTTCTACTTTTTTCTACTATAATTTTGTTTAATAAATAAGATCCTTTAATTTTTTTAAAATTTGTTAACTAATAACAATTAATAATCAATTTTAGATAAAATTCGTACACCTATGTAGTACTTTACGTGCTGTTGTACATAAGGAAGTGTTTAATAACGTATAAATTTATTTTCATGATATTTTTAATGCCATGAGACAATTTAAATACAAAAATACCTTCTAAAAAATAAATAGATAATAAATGCTCTCGTGCATCGCACGGTACAGTACTAGTTATGATAACTCAAATACCTGTAATCACAATTCGGCTCCAAGTAATCATGACTACAAGGTACAACTTATATTCATATCAAGAGAACTAAAGTGTAGCACATCAGTACAAACTGTGTCCAGACCTTATGAGAAACAAGAAAAGTTTTGTAAATGTTACAGTCTCAGACAGGAAAGGAGAGAAACACAAAAGAAACGAATAAATTTGTTGCATAAACTCAATCACAAAGGCAAATGCACCAAGGAAGCCACAAATTTGCTGGCAACAAAATACGAAAATGTAACTTGAGAATCAAACTTTGACGCAAGAAAACAAAATGTTGCTTGAATCCAAACATCTTCACACAAACTATATTCATATAGGAAATAAATCATGTTGTAAAGGCTACAACACCGAAGACGAAAACACTCTGATCAAGCACAAAAAAAACAAAAAGTAATAAATAGTGTTGAGATGTCTTCTCGACTTTTCTCGTCCTCCATCCGGTCATTCTCTCACTCTATGAACCTAATATTTGGCTGGTGAAGAGGAGAAGAAAGAGGATGAGCACTTTAGTTTCCAAATCGTCTCTTCACTCCTTTCTCCATCCTCTCACCTCATTTACCCTAAATTCATCCTAAACTCATCTCACAAATCAAACATGGAATTAAAGCATAAAAGAAAAACTTTTAGACAGAGAAACGTCCTGGAATGTAATGCTGTGTGTAGCTAGCTGCACAATTCCTGACTCCGGACTGAATAATGATAAAATATCTTCGTTTTGCCAATTTAAACGAGATTGTAGCTCGTTACCCAAACCTTTGCAGGTGAGGCCGAGTGAATGTACACAAACTCGATGCTTTTACCAGCAGGCAAATAGTTGACCCACGACGGGAAGAAGTAGGAGTTTCCAGACTTGGTGAGGCCCCACAGAGGACCATAAAGGTTGGAAATGTAAAGCTTCAAGTTCCTTAAGTTTTTGGAGGATTTGTTAGTGATTCTTGTTCTGTATCTGTAGTAAGTTCTCCCATTCAGCCCCCACGAGCTTGTGACTCTCTGAGTAACAACAACTGGGCTGGAAGATGACGCTGCAATCAAGCACGAGTGAGTTTCAGAAGAGCAGAACTAAAAAAATGCCATAAAACAAAAAAAGGGAGCACATATTCCAGATAAAGAACCATAAAGCACAAAATACCTGGGTAACGTTTGACCAATGGCTTCGAAACCCGTTTTGGATTAGCAGCTATCGGTTTAAGTGCAGGCAGCTCCACTGTAGAAATCAAACAACATAAGCAAACTAGCCTAATTAATTAATCAATTCACATTTTGCTCAACAAAAGCTGAAACGAACCTGGCAGAAGCTGATTGTAGCCAGCATGACCTGCATGAAGCCTGGCAAGTATACCAATGAGAGGGGCATTATTGTACGTAGCAGGCTCAGTTTGCTCATAGTTATCCCTCTCGTCAGCAAAATTGTCGTAAGCATCGGGCCCACCAACAATGGCTCCCGTGAGCAGGTTCGGATCACTCGCCTTTCGGCTATACCAAGTAGAGTACCCTCCCCTGCAAGTCACGAACGAGGGATTCACCTGGTAAGAAACAATGGAGGCTCCCCTGTGATGAACTTGCCTAGGATAGTTGCTCCCGTAACCCACCATGTAACTCGTTGCCCGTGGATTGTCTCCTAGTATGTAGTCCACCTTCAAGATTTTTCGTAACATTTTAATTGGAATAGTTGAAATTAATTATTAATAATAATAATAGAAATGATAAATAGTTAATGAGAATGAGTTACCTGGGATTTAGCAAAGGCGAGGAGCTCATTGGGGGAGATGTTACCGTTGGCGCATCTGAGGGATTTTCCGGCGGAGGTGAGGTAGTCGGAGTAGACTGTCATTAGGAATGAAGCACTCGTCACAAACTGCATGTTGTTCCATCTTTGTCTGAAAATGAGGCCGCCGGGGGTTTTTTGGACATTGTGGGTTCCTTTGCCGAGGCACGAGCACATGAAAAATTCAGCCTTTTCTTGGTACCTCTGGAAGACTGCGGTATTCCTGCTACCGGCTTTACCTGCCATCAACAACTGCACGGCGACTAGTTCAATCAGTAACTTATGAATGTTGGTTTGAAGTGAGAGCACAAATTATGCTAAAACAGAAGAGAAATGGGCAATGATCAGAATGAAATCTTGGAACGTAAAAACGTGGAATTTAGGATTTAGCATTTTGGAGAATTGAAATGCAATCTTTGAAAATATGGGGATTTGAGTGTACCTGAGCAACCATAGTTTGAACACCAGCATACTTGACATCCCATCCAAATTCAGTCATGGCCCAACCAGTTCCTCCAAGGGCATCGCCATTGTTCCCAAGGTAGTTCAAGTAGTACGGGTTGTTTGTTGCCTTGTACAGCCATGCAGCTGCCCACAATAATTCATCCTTTTTTTTTTTTTCCAAAAAACGATTAAATTTTAGTTATTTGAAAAAAAAAAATGTTTAATTTGAAAAGCTGAAATAGGTTTATGTTTCTTAATTGTAAATAATAAAGAGAGGAATTTTTTTTTTTTTTTGATTGACTGAGTACACATGTTCAATCAATTATCCAATTGTTGAATGAGAAATGAACTGAAACACGATTTTTTGGACATGAAAGCTTATTAAGGAATCACATACTGCGTATCCACTGACTGATCGGTAGTACTGCTGCGCAACCGTAATGCTATTGTCATATTTGCCCCTGTACTTGTCCGCGAAATCAAAGAGCTGAAATTAAAAACAGAGAAAAAAGGGTTTTTAGATAGGGGTAGTTTCGACCGGCTGGAAGATAATTAAGCTACACGCAGTGCACCGACAGATGTGTCACGTGTCATGATCGAGCCCCACAATTAGTTACTATTGGGTCTACCTATGAAGGGCTACATCAACGGCTGGGATTCTAATTGGTATTTTATGGGACAATGCTCGTGATTTCCGGCAGAATTCGGTCCCCACCCACATGATCCTATTTATGGGCCGATGAAGGCCCATTATTAAATGTCAAAACGTTTCTAAAGTTTAATGAAATAATATAGTATTATAATGTTATATATTATAATGTTATTATATAACTCTACTAATGTCAATACTAGTTAGTTAAAGTTTACAATTGTGACTTGTGAGTAACAAGTAGAGAATTTGAATGTCTTATTCAACTTTAAAATAAAACATCGGAATTTGTTTTGTTAACTCAACAGCATAAATCCTGTCTTATAATATGGGGTAAGAATTAGTTCAGTTCTTATCTATTTTGACTTGACCCATGAAAAGGTACAAAAAACAAGACAATGTAGAGCGTTCACAACTCACAAGGATATATAATTAACGAATTAAAGAATGATAAAGAAACCTGAAGCCATTATTTTGATTCTATCAGCAATACAAATTATCACCAATTCAAAAACATTGTATATATCTTTTTATAGACACATTCATAACGAAAGGCATTTCCGTTATGCTTTTTTTTAGCTCATCATAATGCAAAATTTAAGATTTATGATGATTTGAGGGAATAAAATGGCCAATAATGATTAATGAACCTTTGTCACAGTAATTTTCGTACTTTACTGTCTACGGTTAATTTCACTTTCACGCCGTTAATTTGGAAGGCAATGAATTAAAGTTAGTACCCTTCTGCTAAAGTGCACCGACTAACAACCAACCTGACAAAAGTGGGCCGAGCCCAACCGCCTAAATAACTGAGTCCCTCTAACTATCATGCGCACCCCCAACTCTTGCAAAATGCGCACCCCCAACTCTTGCTAAAATGCGCACACTCACACTAACCACACTACTGAGCACCAGAAAAGTTTTAGAAACCAATCTATACTCTGAAACTGGAATAAAGAACAAATTAACAAAATAGAAAATTTAAGTTGACCTGCATGGCGTGTTTAAGGAGCTCCGCCGCGTAGGGAGCGTTGTAGCGGCGGAATACGATGGACGCGGCGGCCATGGCGGCGGCGGTCTCGCCGGCGAGGTCGGAGCCCGGGTGACTGGGGTCGATCTTGTAAGCGACTCGAGAGGTGGTCATATCCTCCGGCCTCTGCCAACAGTAGTGGTCCGAGTTCCCGTCCCCCACCTACGATTCAACCCACCTCACTCATCAATTTCTTAACCACGCTCTAAATAAAATATATAAAAAACTACAAAATTCCAAGTCTGTAAAAAACAGATAATAATTACCTCTCCATAGAGCACATAAGGTTGGGGATGAGCTTTGATGAAATAGTCAGTGCCCCACTTGACGGCGTCCAGGGCGTGGCCTAGCTCGCCGCCGGCCGCCATCTGCCGCCCGTATTCGAGTATGCTCCAGGACATCATTGTTACAGTGAACGCCATCGGCAGCCCGAATTTCACGTTGTCCCCGGCGTCATAGTACCCTCCGACCAGATCCACCTGCAAAAATCACACGCAATGCCACATTTTTCACTGAAAATTACAGAACACTAAAAGATCTATCCACAGATAGATAGAGCAAATATATACCCCGCTAGCTTTTCCGTCATTTAGGCCTGAATGGCCTCTCCAGTTGACTCGCTGGTTTTTCGGTAAGTAGCCAGATCTCTGAGCTTCGAAAAAAAGAAGGCTCTTACTAAGAGCTTCGCCGTAGTCATAGCTGGCAAATGCCTGAGGAAGAAGAACAATGCCTAGGATTAAAAACAGGGGAGCCGTAGAAAAACAGAGCTTCAAGGATTTCTCCATTTGATTCAAACCCGAATGATGATAAATGCTCAAAAGGGATTTCTCTTGTGAAGAGCAAGGTACTGCGCGATGTATACAGATCTGTTATGCTTGTATATGTGTGCTTTAGTGTTGAGAGTATAAACAGTATAGTACGGGAGTTTGGTTTATCAGCAGAAAAACATGTGATAAACTCAAACAGAGAATGAAATGCAATTCCAGGAGAATTGCAGGAGCACAGAGAAAATTGAGAGTGGGGAGTGAGAGAATGAGGAGAGCTAAAGCCCAGTATATATGGGAAGAGTGAAGGTCTGGTGCTGTGAACGCACTGAAAAGGACAGATATTTATATATATAAATAAATGCGTTTGTTTTTCGTTATTTTTCGTTTCATTTTTCTTTTCTGTTTTTTACTATATATTTTCCTTTATTTTTAGAGAAAAAAGGGAAATTACAACATTTTTTATGAGAATGAGATGAAAATGTGGCAAATGCATGTGCATTTGTTCATGTGCTTTTGCTAGAACGGGTCCATCGGGGATTTGTGCTCGTGTGTACATTTGAAATTTGAGGTGGCAAATTTATTTTGTCAATGAGGAAATTTGCTAGCTGCAACACACACACATAAAAAATTATTCAATTTTTTTTTTTTTTAATTAGCAGAAATTGGTTAAGGCTGGATTGGTTTGATTTACTTCTTGAGTTGTTGAATGTGTGGACAAATTTTTTCTAGCAATGGTAAAGGTTACTATTGTGTAAGTCTTTGAGGAGTTCCCAAAAGCAGTAAAGAAAGAGTACTGTGTTCGCTGAAAAGTAGGGGTAAGTCAAAAGTTGCCTCTTCAGAGGCCTGTCCCATTTTTTATGTTCCCATTGTGTGGAATGACAATAATAATGGGTTTGGGGTTGGGCATGGGTGGTTAAAGGGATTTTTATTGGCTTTGGATACTGGCTTTATAGAAGGGAGGACAACAGATATCATTTGGTTATCATGTGGGGACAAAAGCTTATGATCCAAAATGGAGGGAAATTTGATGGATAATGGAAGAGTCTCATGTGCATGTGCTATGTGGTGATAATGTATGGAATGGGATAAAATGTTTGGAGATGATGTATATAAAGAAATTTGTAATGGGATAAAAAGCTTGGAGACCAATGTATCCAGAGATGCTAGGTAAATGTAGATGAACATAGAGTTACCAGAAGAAAGTAAAGAGGCGAAAAATTTACTGTTCAAAATTCCTAAAATCAAATCAGCACGTCATCTCTCCGTTTCTTCTCTAGCTCCTCTTCACGCTGCGGTGACCTCTGCTTCTCTCCGGAGGTGACCGGCACCATGGGTGGTCCTGTTTCTGTTGTCGGTTTGTGGTTCCTTGTCTTGGGGTTTGCTGTCTTTCGGTGGCCGAAAAGGGTTTCGCGAGCGCCGTTTCGCCGCCCCCTCTATGGTTGGTGCTTGGACTAGTGTTGCTGGTTCCCATGGTTTTCGTCCTTTTCTGATGCGGGGTTTGGATGGGCGCATCCGGTTGGGCCTTTCTCTGTTTAGGTGGAAAGGGTCCTGTTTTGCCGGTTTGTGTTGGGGGAGGTGGTGGCATCAGTCTACTGGTGCTGTCAGTCTGGTAGTGATGTCTTTGGAAGTGGGCTTCGATTCTAGCTAGCCTTAGCCTTAAGAGAAGTTGAGAGTTTCTAGATCTGTGCTAAGGGTTGTGGTCTTGTCTTCTTGGGTGTCGTCTTCAGGTGTCACCTTAGGAGTAGCTTGTTGGTTGTGAGGAGGGCATTATTGTATCGTTTAAATGTGCATGATATTTGTTTTTATTTTTCTGTTAGTTTTTCGGTTTCAGTCCAACTGTTTGTAGCATTTAGTCTCTTATATAAAGTTGTTGTCTCCTTTATAGAGTTATTTTGCTGTGCGGGTGCTTGTACCCCCTTTGTGGCCCGTGTAATTCCAAGAGAGTTGGTTCAGGCTTTGTTCTGATTCCAGTGTGTCCTTTAACACCTCGGGTGTACTCATTTTGAGTTTTTCAGTTATTAATATAATTATCGTTTGACAAAAAAAAATTATGTTAGTGATATAGCATAGNGAAATTTTGATATGTCCCACTCAATATGAGTGTTATGTATACCCCTATGTATAATATGTACCTATAGCATACCTCAAATTTTAAAGGGGAGATTGGATATAAGTTATTTTGGATTTGTTGGATAACCAGAGTTAATTTTGAAAAAGTTGATTATGTTAAGTTTTAGTGGGATTTTGAATTGTATTTAAATAATATTTAAATTATAAAGATTAAGGTTGATTTGATGTCAAAGTAGGAGACAAGTGATTGGAAGTGATGATTAGTTAAAATTATGTAATTGTATGAATAGTTAATTAAAGTCTATGTGATGTGTAAAAATAACTTATTAGTATTATTTAGTTATACTGATATGCAGCAACAATTATGTGAACGTAAATTGTACGATGCACAAGGCAATAATGATAAACCGTATAAATGAAAGCAGTGGAGTAATGCCGATTAATATAAAGATAGTTTTCAATATTTATATAAATTCTTATGTTTTCCTTTATTTTTATCATAAATAATAGTTTAATATATAATTTATATATGTGTTTGACATGTTATAAAATAGTGTCATTTTGGTGTTATTATTTAGAATTAAAGAACATGAAAATTTAATATATCCAAACATTATCAATAAATAATACTCCGAACTATACTTCTTTCTCTCTTTACTTGAGACTTATTGCAATATGTGATTTTGATCAGAGGCGGATTTTACAAAAGAAATATTACAAGGCCCGCAGTGAATTTTACAAGAGAAATTTTAAATACATGTACTACTCATGATTATATATAAATTAATTAATGAATAATTTAATTTACATTGTGTCGGTGCATTTGGGAAGATATACTTGTAGCTCTCTCTCCATATTATAAAATGCCTTATTACATTTTGTTTTACCATCGTTAATTATTTTTTATTTATTTTTATTTTTATGAATCGACACTATCTATCCCATTTTTCTTAGATATGAACTAGATATATAATTGGTTATTTACTTAATATACTTATAGTAAGAACAAAAAAAATAAAAATTTTCTTATTTATGTTAATTAGTTCACTAACATAGTTAAATTTATTCTAAATTTGATCTCAAAATTTTTTGTTAATTTATAACTCACACAAATATATAAGTTTCCAAATAAATCACTTTAAATTGATCACAAATTTGTAGTTAATTAATAATTCACATCAATATACAAGTTTCCATCAAGATAACTTTAAATTATATTTATGACTAATATTTAATCAACTATTTTAAAAATTAAAATAAAATAAAAGGAAAACATGATTGGATATATGACCTTTTTTTATTTTCTTTTCATTCAATCAAGATTTATCTTGTTGAGACTAAGAAAATAAAAAAAAAAATTATAAATATAATCTATTTCATTCCACCCTTTTTATCTACATGTAACAAAATTAAAACATAATAAAGTCATATTATGTTATAGTTTCTAACAATAATATGATTAATTCAATAGCATAATTTTTACATGTCATTAAACCACATCAACATTAATTATTTTTTTTTTCCCAAAACGATAGATTAAATTATAAATCAAAATGCACAAATGTGCGAATACACAACAGCCAACGACTGAATACTCAGCAGCCAACAACTTAAAAAAGTGGGAGGACAGGTCAGAAGACCGCCTAGAGTTCCGACTAGCAACGCTAGAATAAAGCTCGCAACTAAAACAACTAAACAGAGCCCAACAGAGTAATACCCGAGTGTCGGATCCCAATGGGTTAATAAGATGACGCTCGGGTTCACAAAGGCCAAACGGCCCAGACCAAAACCACATTCCTAAATTTACACAAAAACACAAACACAAAAGAACAATCCTAAAATAAAACATAATAAAAAACACACAAAGCCCTTTCCCCGGGATAACCATACCCAGCCGGCGAAATCAGGACCAATCACCCAATAGCGTGACCCGAAAGTTGGAACACCACTCCCGCCACTGCCTAATGCCTAGCAAGGACGAGTCCCAAGCCCCGAAACACTCCACGGATGAAGGCGACTCACAGCCCAAAGAGGATCAATCAGCCCCCCCTCCACTGACCCGCTTCCCAAGACCCGACCAAACACCACTTGGTCAAAATCTGGGCTAGTCGGGCGTCCAACTCCACAACTACGGCAAAGTGGACCCAGGGGCTCAAATCAACCCACCTCAACACCAGCCGACGCGTCACAGACGAGCCAAGCCACATGGGTCGCACCCAACCCCAACCACACTCACTCACCTCCTTGAACCAACCCACCATGAACCAAGCGCCCAGCAGACGAGCTCTAACCGGGGACCGAGCAGAAAGGGAGCCAAACGACAGCCAGCCACCATAGCCACGACTCGGAGAACCCGTAGACAGAACCACCACCGGGGAGATGGAGACGGCGAGACTTGCCAACGGCTTGGGAGGAGAATCCCCATCGACACAGAAGCACTGGCGAGGGAGAAATTGGGGCGGGATTACGCAGCTATAGGCCATCCGGGGGCAAAAAGGCCGGCTAATCGCCGGAGAAGGTGCACGGTGAATGGAATTTGATGAGCAGAGTGAGGGTTTGTGTGGGAGAGAATGGGGATCGGGCAAGTTAGTTGGTTTACAATTGGATAGGCCGTTAAATTTGAATGTAAACGAAGCAAATAATCATCAACATTAATCATTACATTTTTGTCTTGTACTCATTCACAATTTTAAATNGTTATAAGACCAACTCAGGGCCCACTTATGCAAATTTCTATATTCGCTCCTGATTTTGATTTCTAAATAAGTAATGGTAAAGTTGACAAATATATAAACTGACATTTAATTTAAAAAGAATGTAGTTTATATTATCTTAAATTTATAAAATTTACTAATTTTAATTATTTTAAAATTATTTTATATTTTATAACTTATTATAACATATATTATAGCTAGGTACTTTATTTTCTTTTTTCTAATAATATAATTCACCAAGTAGTTCGACATTGATTGATTTATTATTATAATTTTAATATTATATATTACAAATATTTTAATTTTTTTTGTCTTATATAACAATTTACATCATTGTTCGATAGGTAACTCATTTGTTTATCATTATATTTTATAACAATATATATTATAAAATTTTAATTTCTCTTTCTAAGTTAATAATTTTTAAGGATAGTTCGGCAGATGATCTGTTGGTTTCTTATCATAATCTATAACAATGTATATATATATGGGACAGATCCAATAAGACCACTTCTTAAAATGAGTATGTGAGACTCAATCTTAGCTACTCATTTTGTCTAGATCAAAATCAATTAAAATATACATTAATTAAATAATAAAATAATTATTAGTTGACTCTAGCGTTGACCGTTGACTCCGGCGTTGACCGTTGACAACTAACCTAGTAGCAAGACATAAATATCCTAGCAATAAAAGACATAAAAGACAATTAACCTACCAGCAAGAAAAGAAATAACCTAGCAATAAAATACAACTAACCTAGCAGCATCAGACAACTAACCTAGCAGCAAGAAAGAAATAATCTAGCAACAAAATACAACTAACTTAGCAGCATCAGACAACTAACCTAGCAACAAAACACAACTAACCTAGCAACAATAGACAACTAACCTAGTAACAAAAGACAACTAACCTAGCAGCAAGAAAGAAATAACCTAGCAACAAAAGACCTCTGTGTTGGCTGTGTGGTAGTGCCGCCATCTGTTTCTGCATTCGACCAGTGATTCGTCGGGACCGTAGAATCATCCGCCTGCAACCATGGGTATTTCTCGGGATTCCATGCACAAGAGGCGTACGACTGGAGGAAAGAAGAAGACTTGGAGGAAGAAGAGAAAGTACGAGCTTGAAAGACAACCCGCAAACACAAAGTTTTCGAGCAACAAGACTGTCCGCAGGGTGAGGGTCCGTGGAGGTAATGTGAAGTGGCGTGCATTGAGGCTGGACACAGGAAACTTCTCTTGGGGCAGTGAGGCTGTCACCAGGAAGACTCGTATTCTGGACGTCGTTTATAACGCGTCCAATAATGAGCTGGTTACGTCCCAGACTTTGGTTAAGGGTGCTTTTATTCAAGTTGATACTGCGCCTTTCAAGCAGTGGTACCTCCAGCATTATGGGGTGGACATCGGTCGTAAGAAGAAGGCTGCTGCCAAGAAGGAAGGAGAGGAAAATGAGGCTGCTGCTGGTGAAGAGGCTAAGAAGAGTAACCATGTTCTAAGAAAACTTGAAACGAGGCAACATGACCGTAAAATTGACACTTATATCGAGGAGCAATTTGGTGGTGGCCGTTTGTTGGCTGCAATCTCCTCCCGTCCAGGCCAGTGTGGGCGTGCTGATGGTTATATTCTGGAGGGAAAGGAGTTCAAATTTTACATGAAGAAAATCCAGAAGAAGAAAAGAAAGAGTGTCGGAGCCTCTTAAATTACTTGGAGCTCCTTGTAATTTTCCATTTTTCCGCACAACTGTTGCTTTCTTTGTCATTGCAATGAGCAGGACAATACTTTGCTTGAGCTTTAGAGATATGTTGGACTATTATGTGAGATTTTGTTTTTGTATACAATTAACCAAGCTTCCGTATTTTGTTGGCTGATTAAAAAAAAACCTAGCAACAAAAGACAAATAACCTAGCAGCAAGAAAGAAAAGGTCTTGACAGAGCTCGGTTGCTAAACAAAAGGAGGGGGGAGTTCCTTTGTCGTTGGGGCAGTTCACAAAAAATCTAGTTTACTGATTGTGAAACGATTAACAGAATCATTTTATTTTTTCTCCTAATGATTATAACCAAAATACGTTTTAGAAATCAATCAAATTCCGGGAGGCTTTGTGTAGTGCTTCTTTCGGAGTTAAACTCCCATTTGTCCATATTTTAAGAAACAATATCTCTTTTTTTTCATTCCCACTCTCATAGCGATGAATACAATAATTGACATCTCGAACAGGCGTGACCGAGTGAAATACTTATAGTGGCATTTCGCTCACATTCGCCTAAAGGCTCAACTCTAAAGCCCCTATATTGGACTCGAAGAGCTCTGATTCAACACAACTTGGGAGAAAGGACTCTTTTTCGAGAAGTTAATAGAAGTCGACTACAAGGGTCATTGTCTTCGATCAGAAGACAACTTACCTAGCAGCATCAGACAACTAACCTAGCAGCAAGAAAGAACTAACCTAGCAACAAAAGACAACTAACCTAGCAGCAAGAAAAAAATAACCTAGCAACTTAAGACAACTAACCTAGCAACAAAACTCAACTAAAATAGCAGCTACAAATTACCCGTCGATACTGTGCTACACGCGAGAGGGATCTCCTTCCCCTATCGGTGTATGTGTTGTTCTGAGACTGGACGCCATGAGACCGAGACCTTTACCCACTTTTTTCTAGAGAGTGAGATTGTGAGGAGAGTGTGGGAACATTTTGCCACTTGGACACATATATCCCTACCCACCACATACAGTTTTTTTGAGCTTCTGAGTTTTTTCTCACAGAGCACACACATTAGACACGTGGGCTTCCTCATTCCTTGTTTGATCCTTTGGTTCACCTGGACGGAAAGGAATAGTGTGAAGCATAGGGATATTACTTTTATGTTTTCTCACATTGTTTTGCTGGTAGAGAGACACATTTCACTCTTCATCGCATTGGGCAGGCTCACGGCCCGAGACTGGACAGGCTGCACGCCACCACATCGCTACATGGTGGCCCCACCACCGCCTGTTCAGCACCCTCGGCCTAGAGCTGTTGTTTGGCTTCGACCTGACTTTCTGTGGGTCAAGCTGAACACTGATGGCTCCTTTGATCGCCACACTGGAGTTGCCGGAGGAGGAGGCTTGATCCGGGACCATAGCGGCGCCCTCATCACCGCCTTCCACGCGTCCCTTCAGGCCTCCTCGAGCTATGATGCAGAGATTCAGACATTACAGATCGGCCTTCAGATTGTTGTCCACCTCCTATAGCCACATTTAGATCGAGCTAGACGCTGCGGCTGTTGCCACCCTTTTGACTTCTGGCCACCAGGGCTCGTGGCAGATTCAACACCCGCTTATGCGTATTAGAGCTCTACTCTGGTCTGTCCATCACAGGATCACGCACATTTTCCGTAAGGGGAACAGACCAACCGACTATCTGGCCAGCCTTGGCGCCACTATACCAGACACATATACATTTCAGACCGACACTGCTCCACTCCGCCTTCGCATTCTTGTACGGATGGACCAGCTTGGATATCCAGCGTTCCGCTTTCAGTAGTTTAGGATTTTTGCTTTCATTAGTCTAGACATTTACTTGGGGCATCTGTTAGCCCGAAGATCGACTTTGTATTGTAGTTTCTGTTTCTTTTTCGTTTTTCGATTTTTCTTTTTTGTTTTTTTGGTTTTGATTTTGGTTAGTGAGACTCTGTAGACTATTATATCTTGCTCGTTGATATTTTGGGGCCCTGATCTATGCACAGGTTGGGGATCCAGCCCAATTCCCCGACCTAGCAACTTAAGACAACTAACCTAGCAACAAAACTCAACTAACCTAGCAGCTACAAATAACTAACGTAGCAACAAAACACAACTAACCTAGAAAGAAAGAAATAACATAACAACAAAAGACAAATGGTCAACGGTCAACGCTGAAAGTCAACGGTCAACGCCGGAGTCAACGGTCAACACCAGAGTCAATGGTCAATGGTCATAATAATATTTAAATAATTAAAAATAAAGAATTAAATAATAAAAATAAAGAATTATTATTTAAATCAAGATCTGATCTTGTGGCTAGGAATGAGTCTCACGTCCTCACTTTAAATAAGCGGATGTATTTGAACCAATCCCTATATATATATATATATGAAATTTTTTTTTAAGCTTGTAATTTACATGGTAGTTTGACAAATGACTCGTTGTTTATCATAATTTAGAAAAATGTCAACGCCAATCCATTTTCACCAACATATACGAAATGAATTTTCACCAACATATATATATATAATTAAATAAACATACACAAATATCAAAATGTCAACGCCAATCGATTAACAATACATTGTATATATGGACAAATTTTTTTTTTTTAAATATCGATGGCAACCGAAGAAATGTATAATATATTGTTATTCGACAATATATTTTTCAACCCATGTAATAAACGTTAAAAAAAAAAATTGATGGTTCAATTTTTTTCAAAAGTTCGAATCACTTATTTTGGTTTCGACATTTCGGTCGGTCAGGTTACCAAATCGATCGATGAACAATATTCTACATTGTGTAATTTTTTTGAACTTTTAATGTGCATATACACACACTGTATTGTTCATTGTACTGAATATTATTGAGCATTAAATAATTTTTTGTTAAATATAAATTTTACCCATAAATTAAATTGTAATAAATTGAAATTTCTAAAATTGAAACTAAATCCTTGAAACTTTTATTAAATCTCCGATTTGTCTCACGTACTAAATTGAAATATATTGAAAATTAAGAAATTGCAATTGGATACATCAAACATATCAAAACATATCAAATTTTCTAAAAAAAAACCAAACTCTATTTTGAAAAACTAAAAATTTGTTCCTTATCCTCCACCTCCAAAAAATTTTCGGCCATCCTTTCCGGTCACCGCCGCCGTCGTCCTCGTCTCCCAAGATTAACCCTCCGACTCCTTTCCTCTGCAAATCCCGATGATGTAGCGGCTGCCGCCGCCCCCGGCGTTCGATTCGACATACTTGTGGACATGGCTGATGATCGGTAGGTGCACGCTAGACGACTTTGCTATTGGCCGACAGAGCAAATGGTGGACTGTTTTAAGGAGTTTCGACAAGGTCAAGAGATTAGTCCTTTATTTATTTATTTATTTTTTGTCGTGTGGTTGTGTTTGAGGTTGTCGGCGATGCCACGCGTGGTTGTTAACAGTGGATGAACTAGATGTTGCGGCGGGGTGATGGCATAGGCGACATGGCCGACATGCTGAGAATGTGGCTAGAAGCCAGCGACAGTTTAGGCTTGCGGTGGCGACGAACTGCGACAGTAGTGGTTTGGTGGCGTTGGCGGGCTGAGAATGTGGCTACATGTGGTGGCGAACGCGACTGAAGGTGTAGGTGTGTGTGTGTGTGTGTGTGTGTGTGTGTGATGTGTGTGTGTGTGTGCACAGTGTGTGTTTTAGGTATAAGTGAGAGAGAGAGAGAGTATGGTTAAAGGAGTTGATGGTGAGGCCCATGGGTGAAAGTATAATGTCTGTTTTATCCTTATTGAGTGGTCAAATATACCCATTTAACCATGAATTGAACACTTATTTACAAAATTGCCACTGCATGTTTGACTGTCATTTAAAGTTTAACTTGATCATGACCACTTAATTGATCTAATGGTCCAGAATGATTCTTATTTTTTTCACTATCTACCATTTTCATATGATTTTAACTTTATATATATGTGTGTGTCTATAACTCTATATAAAGTCAATCCTCACTCATACCTTCTCTTTTATTTTAAGAAAAGGCAATATTGCATCTGACATCACGACCTTATCGATTTTTGCACTTCTGTCACGACTTTGGGACCTTGGCACTTCCGTACCCAACCTTTTGTTTATTTGCAAAACGAAGCATTGACCCGATCTTTAGATGATCGATGCCAACATGTCCGGCAATTTAATTAATGTGGCACTGACGTGGCACACATTTCTTAGGCAAAAAAAAACAGCTCACCTTGAACGACGTCGTTTCTATTAAATCCCAAAACATAAATTCATCTCTTTAAATCCAAATCCCTAAATTCCTCTACAATTCCCAAATCCCAAATAATCTCCGACCGAAAACCCTCAACCACCAATAAAAAATTCTCCCTTCAAATCTAAAAAATCACTGCAATCTCGACCTGAATCCATCTATCTACACATGGCCTTTTTCTTGAATTTTTGTTGAATGTTGGACTCAGAGGATATGACGCAGACAATGCTGAGAAATGGTGGATATGGGGAAAAATGTCTACAGCTACCAACATATTAAGGAGCAAAGATTATTAGCCTCACTGAATAAACAAAAAAATATGTTTTGTTAATTACTCAGGTGTTGGGGAAAATATGGGATCGGAGAGATATTTTGTTTCGTTTTTCCCCATTTTTATTTCTCACTCGATTTTTTTTTTATTTTTCCATTTTAATTTTGTGGGGATTAGTATAGATTCTGAGGTCTGTAATTTTGCCCAGCATTCTCAGATGAAGTTATGA